GGGGTGTGTGCAGTGTGACCCCTGGGGGGCAGGGGCAGCCCCTCCGGGAGGCGGGGCAGAGGGCCCAGGGGCCGGCCAGACTGCAGTGCCCAGGCTTCCGTGGGTGCTGTACCTCGGGGTGCCGCTGGGCTGGCCGGGGAGAAGGGGCTTTTGCGGGTGAGGAGGGACTCAGATAAGCGGCCCTGACCGCACGCCCGGCTGTGCCGTCTGACAGTGTGTTGTCCTCTGGAGAGGCAGACGCCCGGCCCAGCTCTGCAGAGCCCCAGGCAGCATGGCTCTGCCCCCTCTCTGAGAAGTAAAGGTCTTTGTAGAAGCCGCTGCCTTCAAGCCCCAGATAAAATTGGGGCCCCCTCAGAGCCCAGCTAAGCCCACTGAGCGCCCCCCCACGGCTTGGCAGCAGAGCCTGCGCTCGTGTGGCTCAGACGGGTCGTGGGAGCTGACAGACCTGCCAGGGTCCCGCCTCCCTGAGCTCCTCCCGGGCCCTGAGAAGCTGACCGCCACCTGGCCAGCATCCTTAGGACCAGAGAGATCTCGTCTGGAAGTTGGGATGTGAGGCCCCCGGCAGCTCAGGAGGGAGCAGTGCCCCTGGCCGGGCGTTTTCATTCGGACCTGTCCTGGCCTGTACGCTGCTGCTGAGTCTCGGGAGGGACAGGCTTTCCCTGCTGCTCATTGTCATTGGCCTTTGTAAATAAAAATTGTTTTGCAGCATATTTGTCATAATCGCCGTGAGCCTGGCACGTTTAATTACTTCCCGGCTGTGGTGTCAGCGGTTGAGCGTCGAGCTAGGATTCAGGAGGTTGGTTCGATTCCGGGCCTGGGCACATGCCCGGGTGGCCGGCTCCATTCCCAGTGGGGGGCGTGCAGGGGCCGATCAATGCCCCACTCTCATCCTTGATGTTCCTCCTCTCTCCCTCTCCCTTCCTCTCCCTGAAATCCATAAAGACATATTTTTTAAAAGAAATGAAAAGAGGAGGGAGCATATTTCTCCAGATTCTATTTCACTTTTGTTTCAGAAGCAGGAAGGAGTACTTTGCTTAGGAATCAAGCGCAGCTGCCAAGGACATAGAAAGTTGGTTTCTAGGAAACCTGTTTCTGTTCTGTCTGCTGTTTCCTCTCCGAGGAAGGGTTGCTTCCCAGTGTGTGTTGCACAGAACAAGGTGTGTCTGTGGTTTGTCTGCGTGCGCTGCTTGCCCAGCCCTCACACCCTGGGCAGAGTTGGTCTGAGGCCCCTGTGTGACCCCTGTTTTTTGGCCACAGGCTGCGCCCAAGCCCGGTCACCGCGCGTGGTGCTAGCAGCGGGCACCGGGAGACTCTGCTCTGCAGAGGAGCGGCGGGGCCTTCTGGGCCTGTGGCGGGCTCCCAGGAGGCTGGGGCCAGGACAGAGGCAGCCCCAGGGATCTCAGGGCCTGGGGTCCCGGCTGAGATGGCCGCAGAGAATGGGGTAAGGCCCAACCTCGGGCCTCCCCCAGTGGTAGGAAAGCCCTGTGTGAACCCAGAAACATGCGGCAGACGCACTCACACGGGCACACAATCCTCTCCCGGTTTCCGTGCCCTGGGGAAGTCTCCATTTAAAAGCAGCACCTGCTTGGTCTGCAAGGAGCACGGGGGCCTCCCTAAAGCCTGGGGACTGAGTTACCCCAGGCCTTTGCCAGGATGGTTTAAATATGGGGTTCCCAGGGAATATGGGAGAAAAGACAGAATCCACATCTGTTCCTTTAGTGCTGCTGGGTGTGGCGCAGGACAGCAGGTGGCATGAAGGGGACGAGCAGAGGGTTGAGCTCCCTGCTTGGGGCCAGCTGACGGCCTTGGCCACACCTTCCGTTAGCACCCTGGGAGCCCAGCGCACACTCCTGGAGGGGCCGCCCCACTAGCTGTGGCCCGGGGACTCCACGGGAAGTCTCCATGGTGCTGTGTCCTTTCTGAGGGAGGGGTGCCCGAGCTGTTAATTAAGCCCACAAAGCCTGGGACTCAAAGGAAAGGCTCTGAGCTGTGCCAAGGCTCTGGGGCTGCCAATGAGGCGGCCAAGTTTGGGCGATTTCTCTCTCCCT